TGTGTATTTAGAAAATTTTAACAGAATAATTAATAAAAGGACTAAAAAAAATGAAGAATGGACTAAAAAAGTATATAAAAAAATTAAATGATAAAAATTATATAAAATATTAAAATTGAGGACTAAAAATGAAATTTATGCTTTTTAAGTTTGAATTGATTTAAATGGTAGGCGGCAACTGTGCTAAAAAATGGAAGATTGACAAGAGACAGCTGGACGCGAGAACAGAGGAGGAATTGCGCGTTGGAAATTGCAGGGTTGGCCAAAACGACGTCGCTTTGGTCAGGAAATCTTTTTTTTTTTTGAAATTCTTGCATATTGTACCGGTTAAATTTCGGTGTACCGGTCGGTATGCCGAAATTTCAGCCGGTACACCGAAATTTGACCAAAATCATCGGATTTTGATCGAAACGAAATTCTTTCTTACTCCGTTTCGGTCTACTTCAAAAACCGGTACGGTACGGTATATACTTCTTTGGTCAAAAGAGGGGTAAAAGCATTAACTCCAACTGGTGAGGAACATTTTTTAGTACACTGGGAATTTCGATGGCCAATGCATCCACAAGAAAAATAGAGTGCATTAACTCCCTCATACAATACTTTTTGTCTGTATCTGCCAATTCGAACATATTTCACTACCGGTTTAGATAGATCAATTTGGACACAAACCCGAGCATATTACCCCTTGTATGGTGGGCTGTATGAGCATCCACTCATAGGAGATTTCCAACCTTATTGCCAATCTTTTGTAGAGTGGAGGGATCATAATAATCCGCAAATAGATTTGGCAATTGAGCCCAAACTGTAGTTGTGAAAGATTGGAGTGCCTTTGAAGGGACAAAGGGAGGTTCCCACTTACGCAAAGTCATGAAATAGGGTCCAACAAACCATGGCCCGCCGAAGATAACTCGATGGAGATCCTCCTCAACCTGAAAACGAACAAGGAAGAAGTCAAGTCCAAGATCGATAAAATCCCAGTGTCCAGTGGGTTTCCACTGAGCTTTTAGCCTAGGAAAAATGAAATTATATCCCAAAGGTTTGTGATAAAAAGCTAAACGATTAAAGCATTCATCCATGGAGCTCTAATTCTCTGTTTTTCCGCCTTGGATAAAAGAACAACATGGGAATCATCATTTGGATCATCATCCACGTCCGAATCCTCGTCCATGTACGCAGGGATAGTAGAGAAGGAAATTGCAACAGGGTTTTCCGATCCTGTAAGTTTGTCTTTGTAGGACATGGGTCCTCTGGTTTCTTGGTTACCATCACCCTCTGACATATTAGTGTCATCCTGGGTTTCCCCTCCATTGCCGGTGTGAGCTACATCCACCATGGTAACATTGACAGTACCCTCCCCCGGGAAGGAATTTGCCTCCCTCGGTTGAACATTGGCCTCCATCATTGGGGCCTCGCCTAGGGAGTGCACAGACTCAGCCCCTTTAATCTTCTTAACACTCCTGCCAAGGAGATCAGTCTCCTGAGGGGAGGAGAAAATCTTAATCGCTTCACGCACTTGCATACACCAAAGGAACTCAAGCTTCAGAGAAATTTTTTTGCAGAGTGGGTAAGGAAATCTCCCCTCCCCTTCTTTTCTTTTACTCATTTTTATCCAAACATAGGCTTACCAAAAAGAAAAAGAGAAAAAAAAATGGCAACGGTTGACGACTGGAACTCCTCCTTCCCTTCCAAGATCTCTTTCTCTACTCGTCTGCTTTCCTTCTTCTTCTTGCTCTTCAGGTAATCCCTGCACGTCGGACCCTGTATGCGTATGCATTGATGATTCTGTTCATGTTTATGCATTCTGGTCAATGATCTGAATCACCTGATCATGTTCCATCATTGAATCCCATCGTTAAATCTGCTCCTGATTGAAATCGTATCTTTCCATGTCGCATTTGATATTTTGATTTGTTTCTGCTGAAGCGCGCATTTTTCCCTCCGTTTTTTGTATTTTTTTAATACAAGGATTTTTTAGATGGATTGATATCCAGAACAGAATTTATCATGTCATCTGGAAACAAAATTTAATTACCTTCTTTTATAAAATTTCTGATTTTTGCAAAATTACGCTGTAATTCTGATAATCCACATTCACAGCAGTTTAATGTGATTCTATTGTGCAGTTACTTGGTATGGGAATTGGGTTTTATTGGGTGTTGACAAAGGTTGAATATTTGTGAATAGAGAGAGAAGCTGTAGGGGTTTGTGTGAACTGTGATGTATTGTGGAGGAGAGGAGAAGCAATGGAGTTGTGAAAAAGCTGGGACCTTGAGTTTGCAGAGAGTTGGTTCTATAGTTTGCGATATTGGATAGCCTTGCCTATATCAGTCATCCATACAAGTTGTTATAGCTGTAAGACTATCATCTACTCTATCAGTGACTCTATCGTCACTCTTTTAGCTTTATAGCAATGAGTTAGCTCTCCCTTTTCATGTTCAAGATTTGTTCTGAAGGATAATTGGTTCATCTAGGCAGATTTAACGTAGCTCCAACAGTGCACAAATTCGTGTTTTATCAATTTACTAGACATTTGGTATGGTTTGTTCTACATCTTCACCATACTAAAAAAAAAAATTTATTCCCCTTTCCTTCTCAATAATTTGAGTGGTGACCTGGTGGTTCAATTTGTCTAAGTTGGTCTGGAAACTTCATTCAGGATTATGTTCTTTATTTGGTTAACGTAATTCCCTTTGGTGTCGTTGTGATACTAATTTTCAATGAAATATTAAAGATCCCTCCGTCATTAATTGGTGCAGGTAAGCAGAATGCTGAAGCCAGAAAAGTGGCGGACACTTTTTGATAACGATGGAAAGATTTTTGGTTTTAAGAAAGCCCTCAAGTTGATTGTTTTGGGGGTGTGTTTTTTCTTTTCCCAAAATTTCTGATAGAATGAGTAGGTATTTTGTTGCATGTTTTCATACCATTTTGTTGTAAATCTCTCAACGCAAAGTTATAATGTTTACCTAGCAATATTATACTTTAGGAATCTAGGATTGTAATGGAGTTGGCTTTATAGAATGCCATGATTTCTTTGATCAAATTTCAGACTTCCAGTCAGTGTGATTTGATGCAGCCTCCTTTCTCCCTGAGTTTGATATGTTAGCATGTGATAAATAACATTATTGGTTCATTGAAATTTCTCAAATAAGCCACACCCTTTCCCATGCCACTTCTTCTGAAGGTAAGTCATCATTGATTATAATTGATAGTCATACCATTTTGCTTAAGTTCGGAAATTTCTGCTTGGTTTTTATGCATTGGGAAGCACTGCAGGGTACTGAAAGCATTTGAGAGCATTGCATAGGTATAGGCTTTTTTCCCCTCATTTTTTTCTTATTGAGTTACATACCATAAGCACTTAACTGAATTTCCTTTGTTCAATATGTCTACTGCTACTCATCTCTGATACAAGGTTAAATATCCATCTGTCATCATTTTTTCTTTTCCCTTTTTTTTTTCTGAAAAAAGTGGGAATCAGGGAAGTAATATTGAAGGAAAAAGTTCCTTGGGGGAGAAAGAGGGGTGCTTAATCTTCTCTACCCCATCTTGCCTGGATATATCATGGGAATATTGTTTTCTTAGCTTTTACTTCAAGAGCTTATATATTCTACAAAGCTAGCGTTTTCTTGTGACTTTGTAATCTCTATCATGTCTTGGTTCAAAAAGTTAGCTTTTCTTGCCTCCTCACAAGTGTACATAACTTATTATTTGCAATTATTGAGCAGTAGTTATGAATGGCTTTCGTACTTTGTGGTTATGCATTTGCTAAAATCAAGGCACTGATTTTTATTTATGTAACAGCTTCATAAAACTGTATGCAGGGAGTGTTACCAGGATCCCATAAGGCAGTGACAAATAATGCATTCAAGCATTGGAACTGGGTCACTTGCCTATCGTCTAGGATCCAAGGTTATGGATATGAGGTCATCCTCCAAAGATGAAAGGCAAAGGGAAACTATTGTCAAGAGTAGACAATCTTCCATTGATAATACTGATAACATAGAAAATTCTTGTGACTTGAGCAACAATTGTACAGATATGTCAAGTGATGGCCAAAGGGAAATTTCTAGTGATCCCACTGATCATGTCACCTTGAGGGTGAGTAGTGATGGTGCAGCATGTGACTCTTCTTCTTTTATACCTACTCTTGGACTATACAGCAGCAGTTCCTCTATCTAAAATAGGGAGAGAATATCACAGACTACATTTCATAACTGAAACATATATTGATTTTCCCCCACTACCAGTCATAGATTTGTTTGATGGTGGAGAAGATGAGAATGACTTTGTTCCATATGAGGATGAGAGTATGTATAGTTTCCAAATCAATGACAATTCTGAGTTCATCATGGAACCAAATACTTTTCACCATCTAGCAATTTTTCTCACTATTTTAATTCTGAAATCAAGTTGGTTATTCCTGAAAGGCACCAATCAGTCTCAGAGTCCAGTAATCTGGGTCATAAAACAGAAATTGTCAACAGATTAAGAATGTCAGATGGCTCAAAAACACCATTGACAAATGCAACCACATCTAAGGAGGAGCAGCAAATGAGGCTTTGGAATATGCACCAAATAGGTAACTAAATAAGCTGTTTTGTGAAAATATGTTCTTTCATTCTCTATCAGCTGACGGGATTGTTCCTTTTTTCAGTTGTTGATGTGGTGAGAACAGATAGTCATGTTGAACTCTACAAGGACACAAGAAATCTAGAAAGGATGTCTGATATTCTTGCTGTCTATACATGGGTTGATCCTGCAACTGGTTATTGTCGAGGTTAAACCTTTCTCTGCTTTCCAACTACTATTTATTGATGGCACAAAGATTTTCACAATACAATTTAAAGCTTTAGCATTAAACATCACAAGTAAATTAAGTATTTTGGTTGATTTTGGTTATATGTATGAGTGACTGGCTATCTCCCTTTTTCGTGCTCTTTGAAGATAATGCTGATGCATTTTGGTGCTTCAAGATGCTCATCATAAGGAGACTGGTATTGTATTATTATAGACTAGAAAATATGTTGAGTTAGATAATTTGTATTATTTCACTATAATTTTTTTATGGATGCCTCCGGTTCGAGAATTTTCAGATGGAAGGACCAAGTTGAGTGATGAAGCAGTTGCGCATTGGGGCATATCTTGAAACTTACAGACAGGGAAATGTTTGCACACTTGTCAAATACTGGTGCTGAAAGTCTTCATTTTGCATTCCCTGTGCTTCTGATTCTATTTCAACGAGAGCTATCTTTTAATGAGGCTCTTTTTATGTGGGAGGTCTGTTCTCTTAGTCTCACTGGATGACATTAACCACCAAATCCATCATATTAGTTACATCATAATATATACAGGAAATATTGATATGTGATCTCTAAGCTACACATTATAGACTGTGATGATCAGGAGATCAAGTACTAAGCCATCTACCGAAATAACATGGAGGACTTCTAGCAATAATTTGTTTTAGATTAATGTTTGAAACATTTTCCCGATGCTAGCCCGTTCTTTTGGTAGTATGAGAGGCATTTAGTAGTTGTTTCTTCACAATCTACTAAAAGCTGTTTGGTTCCTTCTGGGGAACTATACCAACGATATATGTGACAAACACAATGGTTTAAGGATTCTGCATGTCAAAAAATCATAATGATGGCAATAACAACAATATGATTCACAGTGAATGATAAACTTAGTCATGATCTGTACCATGAATTTTAGTCCTGTGCATGTTATGTGATATGAATAATGTAATCGAGGAAAGGAATAACAGTAATCAATGAAGAAAGCTAACAAGGATGACAATTTCACAGCTGATACCTGTTGTATCAGAAAAAACCGATCCTTTTTTGCTTAAAATGATCAACATTTTCCAAAGATTATTTTTTGGATCAGAAATTTTTGCTAGATAAGAAAATAATTGTATCTAATGCTGGAATTTGTCTTCTGGTGAAAAGTACTGAGATATGCAGTTTGAGTAGCAAATGGAGTGTTAACACCCTTTATAGTGGTATAACTGCATATCAAATGTGTTTGATTTTCACCATCTTATTTTTTAATCGTCAATTTTGAGTTGCTGATGAGCATGTATTTATAAAATTGTATTGTTTTTATTTAGATGAGAAAATATTGTTTTATGCATTTCTGATGAAGTTAAAATGTTTACCTAAATATTGTAGTTGATTTATTTAGATGAGAAATGGTATAAGATCACAAGTCATTCATTTTTTGCAAGTATAGATTGTTACACCCTTTTCACATTTTTCTGATCTTATTATATGTACTGTTTCTTTACCCCCCCAACCCCCTCCCCCCCTTCTTTTTTGAAATTTGCACTGACAAAATCATCCAAATGCAGATGATATGGGCTGCTGACTTTGATGAATCCCTGGCTTACAATTTAGAGGAGAACCATCTGGAGGCATTAATCATAGAGCTCCCAAGGGACTCTGGATCAGAAATGAAAGAGGAAGGCACAGAATATGGAAATAGTAGTTTAAAGGGCACCTTACAGTCAAACCAAGGAACTGGGGAGCATTGGATACCTGATAATTATGGAATAAAATCAGCATCCACTTATCACTTTTGTGGCTTGACAAGGAGTTTTTGGTCTAAAAATGAACACCTACAAACATGCAGTATTATCTTGACTGGGAATGGAGATGATGAGCAACCTGTCTTTTGTGTAGCAGCAGTTCTTATCAAGAACTGCCATAAGATTGTCAAGGAAACCCATTCAATTGACGACATGATAAAGGCAAGTGCTGATTTCTACTTTCTGTCTTTATCAGTATTTACATCTGGCCATGCAGGCAAAGAAAAGAAGCCTGTCAAGCAAGACATGCCTAGAAGCCTATGTTACTCACAACTGCTTCTGAGTGGGATTTCCCAACTTTTTGATTAAAGCCTTCTTAAGTCTTTCAGCCAAGCTAGCCCAGACTTTTGGCCATCTTGTGCTTTATACCTGGACCATAAAATATTTACAGTCAGTTGATGCCGATAAAAATATATATATATATATATTATAGTCAGTTGATTTTATAATTACTTGACTTATGCTCTTCTGGCAAAAACTAGGCCTTGTTACTTTCTCTTATAAAAAAAGTGAACTTAGAAAACGTATTTCATCAAAGAAATGTTGACTATTGTTCTTAATCTAGAGCAGGAACCGAATAGTTCCAGTTGGTAGAGAATTTAGGGTGAATTTGGTGGGAATGGACATGCATATTAGGGTGGAACTAATTCTACGTGAGTTAGGGAGCTGGGGCATGCCCCCCCCAGTCCCACATGAATTTGGTGGGGAGATGTCCCAGCCAATCATGCACGGATTTAAGGGTTCTATTATATCTATTGACATTAGGGAGAGGTTAGTTTGGTTTCAATATTTAAAATTTCCATTTTATTGCAGATTTTCAATGATAAGCTACTGAAGATACGTGTCAAAAGTGCATACAAACAGCAATCAAAATCCAGAAAAATACTTTTCCAAGGTTAGATTCTTATTCCGTTGCCTTTTCCATCATACAATACTATGAGTAAAAAAATGGTTTCTCCCTAGATTTTCATTTTCCTCCCATGTGTACTCTAAAGAAAAGCATGACACATGCAAGTCCAAACTCCAAAGAATGCACAGGGCATTAAACTCTTACATCACTGTGGAATATAGTTACCTTTAGCAAATCTCACTATTTTTTTTTTTTCTTGATTCAGCTAATCAAGGAGCAGAGTTCTATGGCTTCTTATTCCAAGTAGGTCCATGCCATTTCCTGCCTATTCTGGTGGAAATGGCAGTCGGCGCTATTCTGTGGAGCCTAGAATCCCTACTGAGGACATGGCATGAGAAAATTTGGTTGCCTCTGATCTTTAATGATTGAGGGTTAGAAAGCAGAAATTTGTTGTTGAAAGATTCATCCAACATTTGCACCTATGTTACTCATTCAAATCTATCATGAATTAATTTATCATCTGGTTCACTTTACATTCTCTCCTGCAATGATATCTATCATCTGATGCAAATGAACATATTAAATCCATGTAGAAGATCTGTGCAATTAGCTGACTGAAACAATATGCAGTCTGAGTTTTTCATTTTTTCTCATTTTGAAGTCACTGGAAAGATCGGGAAGAAGATTGAAAGAAGATACATTTTTCTTGTGGTGCAGCTAGGACTGTGAACTGAGAGTGATCTGTCTCTTCCTTTTGTAAGTTACTATTCTTGTACATCTATATAACATAAAATTTGGGTCCAAAATTTGTTAAATCTTATCTTGTGTATTGAATCTACAGAGAGAAGAACTAAAATTTGTAGTTAATAGGTGGTGTAGAGATTCTAGCTAGAGATCCTTTAGGAGATATGTTATTATTATTGTAAATTCAACTTGTTAAACAATTTTATTCTTTGTTTATGCACATTTCTATACCTGATCAAGGACATATTTGTTCAGAAAAAAAGACTATGAAGCTTCATATACCTTTAGGACAGGAAATCCATTCTTATTTGTGAATCTGCAATGCCTGCAACTGCATGTCTCTCTATCCTTTTCACTTATAACACTGATTTCTTCCAACCATCCAACCAAGTCATGGACAGAGCATATAGAGCATCAGGTTTTCCGTTAGTCATCAAACCCGGCTGGCAAGCTCTTTGACGAATGACGGTCTGCTGGGTATCAATATGTATAATTCAGTTTGTGCTCCTGGACATGAATCAATCCCTTATTGATGCTGTCTACTATGACCCTTCAAATCTCACAGTTTTGAAACACATTAATAGGGAGTGTTCATTTATATATTTAACATCTCTCCTGTGGGTGTATGATTTATTTAGGGTGTCATACTTGTAATACTATTTTATTTTTAAATTAATTTTGTAAGTGTATATCCATTCATAAAGACTTCAGTGTTTTGTAATTTGTGTTTTTAGAGACCCCTTCTAATATCAAGATCAAATAAAAGTACGTATTTAATAATCCGTATTATAAAACACTTTCAACCCAAAAGAATATAATACATATCTATTATCATTATTAGGGTGTAAATTCCTCTAATTTTGAGTGATCCTCCTTCCATCTCCATCTCTGTTGGCGATTATAAAAGGCAAAACCATAAGTTAAGGCCCTGAACTAGCCTCAGAATCGCTATTAAGCCCCTGGACTTTAATTGATACAGTTAAGCCCTTGAACTCTGGGATTAAAGCAATTAAGCCCTTTTTCTTAGGCAATTTATTTTAAAAATTAAAGTCTAGGGGCTTAATAACGTAAGAAGAAGGGCTTAATTGGTTTGATCCCAGAGTTTAAGGGCTTAACTGCATTAGTTAAAGTCTAAGGGCTTAATAGCAATTTTGGGGTTAGTTTAGGGGCTTAACTTATGGTTTTGCCATTATAAAATTTGCAGTGCACTCACCCTGCGATCTCTTTTATGTTTCTTTCTTTAAAAAATCAATAACTAATCGAATTGTTAAATATTTTTCCAAAAAAAAAAAAGTGAATTATTTTTTCTCTTTCTCACTTTAATGTCGCCTTACGTTCCCTAATAAAAAAGACAACCTGGGATATCGGTTCCCGTCCTGGACGCATCTCTTTCTACTTCTCCTTTCGGTGTCAATTCCTTTGTTTATCTTGGAGCTCCCTTCAATCTCCTTCTTATTCATGACTTCATCGCTTTCTCCCACATCTTTATCTCAAACTTTTTCGGTATAAAATCTTCCCCAGCAATCGTTTTCTTTGTTCCTCTGCTCTTTTATGGTAGGAACCAACGGGCAGCTCTGAGCAATCTGGATGTTCGTTTACATCAAAGATAGGTGGAGATACTGAAATTTAAAGATAATTGAATGGCGAATTCGTCTGGGAACCGTCAAGAACAAGCGAATCAAGGGGCGTCCACTTTCTTCACTGGAACGAAACCCACCAACGGCAATCTGGCATCCGATTGTTCTGCTTTTAGTATGAAGCACGATCCTGGTATCTCAATGGAGTGGACAGTAGAGGAGCAGGTGATTCTTGAAGAAGGGATTAAAAAGTGAGTGTTCTTTATCTTTCTTTCTTTTTTTTCCTTTTTAAGACCTGGGTTTTTTATGAAAAATGTTACATTTTCCGGGGTTTGGTGCAAATGCTTTTGTGTGTTTTGAGACTTTATTGGTTAGAATGGTTAAGGTATTCTGACTTGGAATCAAATTCAGGCTACTAAAGCTGCCAGCTTTTTCTTTCTGCTTTTTGTTCTTTGGATGATTTTGTTATGTTAATCTGGGCATTTTGTAATGAATTTAATTTGGATTTTGGAGTATTAGATTGAATTTCGAATATTTGCATTTTCCTGTTGTATTATTTGGTTGAATTGCATAGCATACGTGTCTAACCATGATCTTTAATCTTTAGTGGCTTTTCTTTTTCTTGTTTTCATGTTCTAATTTCCTCTCTTGGCTATTTTAATTGTAATATTACAATAATAAAAATATTGTCTTGGTAACTTTAGGATGTCTTTGTTAACCAGTATCCTAAACTTCAGTATTACCAATTTAAATTGGGAAACTTCAACTCGCAAAATCTAGTGTTGTGCTTTGTGCTAAAGCATTCTTCTTTTTAATTAACTTTCAGTTAATTAGTTCCTTTTGAATATGTGTCAATTGAGAAACACATTATCCTCATTGTGGTGGTTCATTCAATTTCACAATTTATTTAGCAGTCTTGATTTCATGGTTCAAGTCTCTACATTTGCCTCAATTGATTCTTTTTAAATTTCGTTATTTCCTTGCAGATATGCATAAGATCAGAACCATCTGTAAGTCGTTATGCAAAAACAGCTGCACACCTACCAAAGAAGACTGTACGGGACGTGGCAGTACGTTATAGATGGATGACTGTACTGCTTGTATTTATTGCTTGTTTCTGTATAAATGTGTACTTCAAGTTCAAGTTTAGGAGTTGAAAACTTGAAATTAATAAATTATTATATTTTGGATGTATTTAAATAAAAGAGTCAATCCTTTAATTTGTTAGAATTATTATGAATTCTAGTTGATTTTAGCAAATACGTACAAAAACTTCAATTGGGGGATGAATCTAAATAACCATTTTCTCTATTTAAATATTTTATAGTGCGATGTGAATGTATTGAATGAATAAGATCGGTAAAAGTGGAACCAACTAGAAATTAATGTGTTGATCTATATAAATAACTATTTTAATTAACTAAATTGTGTAGTTTTAATTAGGAACCAATTGCTTCTTAGAAACTTATTTTATATTAGGTTAAAGCCAACTAAGGTTCTTATACCATTGGTTTTTGTTCATTGTCCACCTTTATCCACCACCTTCCTGTGCGTAGTATCCATTAGGCAAGGAATTGGAGAAAAGCACAGTTGGCATAGTAACAAATCTTTGCTGCACATTTTCATACCTCACGTGCCAAATAGCCATAGATTCCAGTAGGTTTGTACCACTGCTCCCTCTAATTTCTTCTCGGCTATCATCTCCCTTGTTAAAATATATGTTCTACCTTTTACTGGTTGCAAAAAGTACCAGCTCTTGGCTCACTAAACCCCCATGAGACATTCGCCATTTGAGATGTAATTCACCAATGAAAAATTCCTCAACAAGTACCTCAATTGAAGTCAAAAAGAGCACCACTGTCCCAAAACAATCATTTTTTAGCATATCCCATAAAGCTCGACCATTCTGTTAACTCAATGTACTCCAAGAGGGGGGTGAATTAGAGTTCCAAAAATTCTCTTTTTTTTGCAACCACAAAACCAAAATTAAAGAAAGTAGAGAAGAAGAGCTTGCTCAATGATTTTTAAAGGTTTGGTCCAACCACTTGGAGCCTAATCCTCTACATTGGCTTCACTCACCAAGAATTTCCTCTACACTCTTCACTAACAACAACAAGGGTGGCTTAAAAGAACCACTCAATCCTTTTACAAGAATAAGGGTGTTTCTCTCAAATCTCACCCCTTTACAAGATAAACCCAAACAATCCTCTCTACAAATCACTCTTGAAGGAATAGTCACACCCCCAAGATTACTCACAAATAA